AAGTATTCATCTACGTCTGGTAGAAAATTAAAATCATAAATAATAGCAGGTATAGGTAGTAAAAAAACTACTTATAAAAAACTTTTATTATGATAAAAATAATTTCATAAAAGATTTTTTTGAGCAGGTACGTACAATAAACTACGTACTTAAAATTGATCGAAACACAAAATGTACCCGGAATATCATCAGTGTAGCCAGTGAAACGAAACACCTATTGTGGTCTGTTTATATTATTATAATTATACAATATGGCGCTCTCGACATCTTCAAAAATAAATTTTATCCCTACAACATGAACCTATACGGTTATTGCCATTATACGATGTGAGACACATGCTCGTATAACAATACTACGTGTATGGTCGTCTTTATAAATAATAATAATAACAATAATAATAGTATATTATGATTTTGTGCATCTAATATATAAAATTATAACGCGATTTAAAATACTCGAAATTCGCCAGCCCCGTCGTTACACACGTACCCTTATATTATATACCTTTCAACTGTACTACGCACTTCATTAATATAAACTAGTGTTTTTCTTATGAAAAAATCATAGACTTTTGATTAAAACTACTGCCCGCCACACCGTGTGCGGTTTACATAATGTATGTATAATATATTATATAGGTACGTATAATATTATTATTATAGGTACATGTTGTACGTGTATAATGTATATTACATAATAATATTGTCATGGTCGTCGCAATTGAAGGAAGTCATTACACTGAAAAGAGAAAAAGCTTGCGCAACGCTCGGGGTACCCGGACAAACCATTGTAAAACATTTCGGAATAAATTACCCATAACCGCGGTATATACACGCGTATTACGGGGACATAATAATAGTATTTTTATGTTTGTTTTTTCTTCCTATCGTGAATCATAAAAAATATTCTCGAATAATATAATAATAATGGGGGCTTAAATATTATACGAAACGTTTTTGTGCGAAAAACGCATTCATATTTTTTTTTATTATTATTATTATTATTATTATTATAATCATGTACACACGCGTATATTATAATGTAGTATATACGAGTCCGGGATTTTTTTTTCTTTTTAAGCAATTTTTTATTTGTTCCCGAGGAACTAATTGTTATTCTAATGCGAGCGCGAACACATATTACAATAATAATAATCCTAAAACTGAGCTCGCGGGATGTATATTATAAACAAACGCACCGAAAACCGTGAACTCGATATTCTTCGTTACTACCACACTATTATAGAGACTCATCTGTCTCAATCTACTTTCGACGCTCACGGTGTAATCAGGGTGGATATTTTGTGCAAAATGTTTTGTTTGAAACACCCTGTTCAAAAATGTCGCGAGTACAGTATGTTGATATTAAAAGTTGCTTTGAAATCATTATGAAAAGTGAAATAATAATAATTTAGAAAGTAATAAACACAAGTCGGAATAGAAATTTGATTTTACTTAATTACGAATAAATAAAAATACTAATATAATATACAAACTGTAGTTATAATACTGTATATACTTAATATACCTATCTAGAAATCAAAATCGACTTTGGGATTATTCTAAATCTCATATCATTGTACCAAAGTTGGAGGTGTCAATTTTCGGGAATTCCCTGATAATGTCACAGGAACGAGATTGCCCCCGGCAATGCAAAACATGTAAATATGGTATAGTAAATCGTATAAGTAGGTAGGTGATTTTACTAATTTTTAAATTTTTTTTTGTAATTTTAGGTTCTTAATAATATTAAAATATGTTAAAATATTATTTTAATATAAATATTATCTATTTATAACAAATTATTATAATAGAGACATGGTAAGACATCGTAGTAAATATCAGTCAGTAAATCAAGTAAATGTAAATGGTTACGTTGTTATACAATTTAACTATAATTATTATTGAACCGAATTGGTGTTTATTATAAACAGCAATACCACTCTGTACTGGCGTATCAATGTATAACCACAGAATAACTTTTATTCAATGACATGACTGCTTAACAGCTATAAACGATTTGAGAAGCACGACGTAAATGTTAGCAATTTTCGATAGTTAACAACGAATGTTTATCTCGTCCCTCGTCTCATTGTTTTAAAACTTAATATTTTATATTAACATCATAAGTTTACATGTTTACACACATCATGATACATCTTCCATTATTTGTATCCATAATGTAATTTAAGAGCATAGCTGCACATTAATACAAGAGCTCTAACAAAGTATTACTAACATAATATTATTATGTATTTGTATAATTGTATCTATAAAAGTAAATAATGCCATGCATGTTATTATTTGTTAAACATTTTTTTTTGTTATCTATAATTATTCATATTTTTATAACTTTCTAGGTATTACAGTGTTTGTTTTATTATTTATGAAAGAATTATTTTAGTTTTTACTAGGTACCTACACATTTATATTATTCTAAACTCTAAAGCGATCAACTAGTAAAATAAAATTATAACTTATTTTATTTTTCACTTTTAAGCTTATGTAAGTATTATTTTCATTTTATTTCTTTTAATTCTTTTTATGTATTTATATTTGATAAAACATTTTAATATTTAATTTAAACATCAGCCTTTATATAAGTATATAACATAACTCTTAATAAATGGTTATTAATTACTGTGAATTAATTTTTTGATTTGTATTATCAGCCCTGAGAATCGTTCAACCCTATCCAAAGATTTATAATAATTTATTATAGTATTAAAATTGCAATGTATAAAATACATTTATATTTTAATGCATAATTATAAAATAAACCAATACAATAGTCAATAATGAAAGAAACTACTTTAAGTAAAAGAATAATTAGATACGGGATTTAAAGTATAAATATTGTTAGCCATGAATTTCATGAAACTACCACAAGATTAAATCTTGAAATACTTATTCTTAATTTATTTTTCTAATACTTATTGTTGAAAATTAAATTATTAATTTTATTGTGCTATACAATTTTTATAACATTGTTTAATTGTATCTATTATTTAATTTGTAGAGTTGTTATGAAACAAATGCTTAATTTACTAAGCAATACGTATAATAAAGATAAATATACTAAAATATAGCGATGGTATTTAACGTTTCATGACCAAGGGAAATTAATAACTTATAATATGTTATAAATTATATCAAATATAAAATACTAAATTACATTAATTAATCTTATCATTAAATTTCAAAATGTTGTTTTACTTTCAAACTGAAATTACTTTTTTTAGATATGAACGTCAAAAAGTACATAATATTTATTTAGTGGAAATCCGACCAATGAATGAAAGTATTCTAAAAAAAAAGTACAGAAGTGAAGTTTATTTATGAGTTTACGATTTGTATAATTTCATTTTAAAATATATTTAAAAGTATATTAATACGATTCAATATTTAATGAGATCCGACAAAGTTATTTCATTAGTGTTTGTAGACATACCGATTATATCGATATGGGTATGTGACAGACTGCAGATTTTGTATAAAATATAAATTATGACATTATAGAGTCGTAGGATAAAAACATAATTTAGATTTTAGATCAACGGCAACGGTTTGATCTCACGCCGATTTGAAAAACTGAAACACTCTGACAATTCCAGACGGTTAAAGCGAGGAAAAATAATATTCGTGTCGATGGTAATAGCAAGACGAGTGAGCCACATTGAACCCACGTCAGTTCAGTGGCATTATCACCCGTTAGTCGTACAACCACTATTTATCTATAAAATAGTGTCATTAAATATAATATGACTATGTCCAGAACGTGACTTAAAATTACGATTATGATTTTCTGATATAAAAAAAAAAAAAAAAAACAAAAAGTATCCACACAACTTGCAGATACATTGGTGCATGTATATGTCTTATAAATGTAATACGTTCATGGCTACGCTAAGAATCGAAAAAAGGGTAATTACGTTGCTATAATAACCTTCAGTTACTACTAGTATACAGGCAACCTAGGAACTTCGATAAGATTAATTTCATCTTTGTTATTGTTTGGTTGTCATTACACCTGTAAAGTGGTCAGAAAAATACAATGATATTTTAGGCTCCCTGCCTCAACACTATGAAGTAACGGTAACTTCTGCGTGTGTCGTATAAAGTTATAGAATGACCCCCAGACATAGTACATAATATATACATGTCAAAACGATCGATTTTCATCAAAATTTGATTACATATTTTAATGTAGGTCCTCTTCGAAACAGAAGTCAAACCACTTACTTGGATCGCACGGGTTCCGAATAATCAAGATTGCATTTCCATTATTGTCTTCTCAGACCATAAACATGGTTTATACAACGCCGCAGCTATACCATGCAATGTTTGAGAGAAGAAAATAGTGCCCCAGGACGTTAAATGCCTTCAGTTACAACGTGAAACGGGTCCTTTTCTAGAGGAACGGAATTTAAACGTATCTTACATCTATGCGTATTATTTTTTCTTTTTTTCTCGTGAAATTTAATTTTTATTATTTTCCACCCGTTTGTTTTCATCGATATTGGTGTTGGTTTTTCGTTGCGCGAAATATTTTCTGAAATTTCATAAACCGAAACTACAAAAGTTATGCTTTACTCGAAGTATTTCGTTTTAGTTAGTTTTTGTTCTGTTTGAATTATGGCTGTCTCGCGCCCTCCGAACTTGAGCTCGTATGTAGGGTAGTCGATTTTGATTATACGCGTTATATATTGTTATATAAGTGCACAGACCTTTTTTGTTTTGTTATTAACTTCGTCTCAAGAGTCATAAAACGATTAACGCCTTTTACATTATTTTTTTTTTACGACGACGACGACGAGTGGCTTATAATTTTAATTTTTTTGCTTTTACAATATATTTTACCACATAATACATTATCGTTATATTTAAACGGTGGTGAAATGTGGCAAAAACGATGACGACGTGACAACATTATAAAATCGACTATAATACGATATACATAGAAAAAATAATTTAAAATTTTTTTATTCGTTTCGTTGCAGGTGACGAATAGTACGAAATACTCAAGGACGACGTCTTGGGTCACAGCTGAAGACGACGGGCTGCTGACCAGCCGATCGCGACTGGAGCTTGCGACCCACGCCGATTACTTTCCGGGTGGCCGTATGATGGTCCGCTGCGAGTCCAATCAGTTTCTGTTGTACAAAAAGTACTCACTTATTGAGTTGATGGATGACTCACCCAGGCTGGCCCAGATGATCAGCCCCACTGCAGTGCTGAGATCGGGTAAGTGGTATACACTCTACCTCCCCCCCCCCTAGAGATGCAATTTTGCTGTACTGGTTGGGACAATATTGAAGTAGGCAGTTTTTTAATCGAATACTCGACTGCACTAAATTATATTTATCGTATAGCGTTAATCGTCCTGACCCATATAATAACGTATTAAATTATTTTTATTATAAATTATAAAATTATTATCAATGCATTAGGGCGATACTGACAATATTTTCAATTTCGCTCCCAATACTTGGCATGAATCGATACTCGATATGCACGTATACTTTTTTAAAAGATATTTATCGGATACACTGCGAGTCTGGGGCTCAAAACCGATGGACCGTGGACCTCTAAGGAGTCCTTAGATGAGTTCTCTGGGGTTTTTGGCGTGGCTCTGATTTTTTTTTTTTAATAATTATTTGATGATTATTGGCTGTTGATAGTAAGTTGATATTTAACCCAATTCATCTCGTTTTTTTGTGTCTTATCTACAATTTTGTTGACACAATAAGCTTCAGATTTCAATGCAATCGTTCAATCCAAAAATAAATAGTCTTCACGCTGAGATTTATAATCTTATCAATTTTTTCATATACGAATATTATTTTTTTGTTTAAATTCTAGTGCTTAGTTAATTTTTCTCTTTAATTGTGACTTTGTTCAAGTAACATTATAATATTATAATAAAAATCGTTTTACATTTTTTTTAAACAACCTCAACTAATTATTGACAATAAAAGTTGTTATAATATTGTATATATTTATCGGATCCGTTACCCAATAAATGTTGAACATTCTTGCCATAATATCCATGAGGGTCTTCATATAATTTTCGTATTACATATTATGCATCTTTTTATTCTTTGTGTCTTCTATAATTTAATTGGTTTGCTACATTACTCCAAGCTTTCACTGTGTAACTTAATTCCTATAAATCCGTGTAATTATCTTTAATCCATGTCTTTCAAGATTTGTTTCACGACGTACCCCACCTCGGATCTCTTCTTCCAATACAGATTTTCATAATATCCTATCATTTGTATGTACGTTTTAACTTAATACGATGCTAAACTACTCGTTTTTAAACATTTTTCAATATAACTGCATTTCAAAAACCTCTAGTAGTCATATCTCTTGTGTACTGACTATCCGAGCTTCGCATACCCATATTATAAAATCGCCAAAATCTCGGTCCCCATACTCGATATTATTTTATTACTGATTATGGTCCTTATCGATTCATAAATGTACTGTGTTTTTTATCATGTGTACTTACACTTTGTGTAACATTTCTAGGTGGACCACAAGCGAGTTCAGCTGATCGTTTCTCTACTGGATATGCGTTCGTATTGGTCGCCATTGTCGCCCATCGAATAGCACCGTATCTCTTAAGATAGCTTTACGATTATCATACACAATAGACAAACACCCTGACATTATTATTATTACGTCATCATGTTATAACGGACGATATTCGTCGTCGTCGTATTTGATAAGTGTTTTACAAGAGTAATAATGTTATACATTATGATTGTAATATACGGTCGACCGTTTGTGATGTTATTATGTTTGTATCGGAGTGGATGCCCAGAAGGGCTCGGTCTTTAACCGTGCCAATGGAAAGTATATTAATTGTTTGTTTAAAATAATATTTTCTTCTCTTTCACAGCGCGATTGAGCTACAGCAAGGCCTTGGCCGAAGCGATAGCAAGCCTTCGCATCCCCTCCACTTCCCACCCATTTACACCCATTATTGGTAATAAAAATCAAATACGAAAATTACATACATTTATTTTCGCCACACGATATACGATATAAACATAATAATACGTGATCACGAGAACATTATACTATATTACGATTTATAAATTTAATATAGGATTTAACTACGATATTGTATTTTCCAAAACCATTTAACTGTGTAACAGTATATTATATATAAGTATATATATATACGAGCAAATAAATTATTGAATGTTTGTGTTTTATTCAAGTTTTTTTTAAATAAAAACCAAGTAATTGATGTTTTTAAATGATTTTTAATTATATATCATAATATTATGTTGTCCATATTATACCATGCAAGTAGTTATGTACCTATACATACTGTCAAACTTGACTGAGGAAAACACGTCGGTAGTGGCGCTACAAAGATTACTTTTTAAAAAGTGTTCGATTATTAATTATATTTGAACAAATATCAAACGATTTAATTTTTGATTTGGTTTTTTACTGTTTATAGAATAGTAATTCACCCATATTCTAATATAACATTGTGAAGTGGAATATATTATACAGAATGTTCGGTGAGGATATACCCATATTAGTCTTAGAGGGGGACTCGCTGCGCGGAAAAAAACAGGTTTTTTGGTGTGTTACCTATAAACTAAAAAAATTATTAAAATTCATGAGATTAATATATTGATATCAAATATTGCACTTTATCTTGATATCTTCTAGGACAATAATAGTTATTTTAAATGCAGTACAACAATAGTTAGTGCATCCACGTGTTGAAGGATCCTTAATCGACTGACACTTCATAGTAACACACTATTATATTGAATTAAAACGATTATAAAAGAGTTTATTTAACACAATTCGATTAATATTAATTGACGTTTACATTATAAATTTCAGAAAAAAAAAATTCGCCCTAGATATAATATTTCTTTAATAAAATATATATATGTAATAATTGATTTTTAAGTATTTAAAAAAAAGTATTTTGTTATAAGCCAATAAATACGACTGACAATATAGCAATATTTATGATTTTTGTAGGATTAGAATTTGTATTCAAATCATAAGACTTGTGCATACATTTACCAATTGGAATGAAATATGCGATTTTTCAAATACTCAAATATTTAAAGACCAGCGGAGTGTAATACCTTGTAATTAAATATAATAGAATGAATATATTTTTTTACTTGACAAAAACACTATGACGGGTGTACCTCTAGGTATGGACATTTTATGAGGTTGTGGCGAGTCAAAAACTATCAGAGAGTTAGTGATTGGGTTTAGTTCTTGAATAAAATAATATAAAAGGTGACCCAGATTAATGTGGCAGTATAATATAAGGAAAAATTGTTGAATTATTTAAAAGTTTATGCAATTTTTATAGTTTCTTACAACTCAAAGTTCAATACTCTTTGCGATACCGCATGGCTAACGACAAAATAATCTTCTACATAATATAATGTATTAAACACTACCACGTACGACAATAAATCTTTATATCAAGCGTTATATAATATATATTCGATTTATATATTTTATATTGCATAGCCACTTAGGGAAATCAATTTTTTTACAAAAGCATTTTCATGCTGATGGACTTCATATTCAAATATACGCTTTAGATATCCTGACTTACAGATCAACACTGATAGTTTTCACAACTTTACGTAAAAATATGATCTGTGAACGTTTGTAAACAAATTGAAAACTCCATATTTAAAATTGTAAAACGGATTTAATGATAAAATTGATTTAGACAAACAATATAATATTATGAAAAATACCAGGAAAAAGTCTTTATTCATAATTAGATATTTTTAAAAATAAAACCCACCCATGCCTGTTGCATTACAATACAGTATAATAATAATTAGTGTGAAATTTCAATTAAATACGCTGTAACGAGTGTAGGTACAGCCAAAATAATTCTATGGTTTTAAAATGATAATATTTTATTTACTAGATTCTATATGAAAATTCCCATAAAAATGTCTAAAGCTTCTCTCATAAAGACAAAATAATCTTTAAACATCATAAATCATAATAAAACATCAAGTACATCATCATACAGGTAACTATAGGTAAGTAAAGGTGGAATACTGTGACCATATCTATGGTTTATGGTCGATATTTATTCGTCCGTCATCAAAATCAGGGAGTATTATTTTTTCTGTCCCGTTGATTGAAATATTGTTCTTTGTCATTCCATACAATTTATTCCTACACAACTCTACTAGGATATGAATAATAATTTTATGACATTATGATATTTTTTATATTAAACACATTTTGATCTTAATAATTACTATGATACTTTATAGTGTATAAAGCTATAGTTAAAAACAGGTGTTTGAAAATTGAAAATTTTGCAGTCAATTGACTATATATATTGAATATATTAATTCATGTAGGTAAACGGGTGGTGATTGTAGTTCATTATAAATATTATGAAAAGAAATTGTATTTAATGTCCAAGTGTTGTAGAAGCATAAGTAAAATTAAAATATAAATTTTTTTATGTGTTTCAACTCCTCAGGGAAATTTGTGACAGATAATTTGTATGAGTCTGTGCCACTATAGCAGAAACACTTTGGTCACGTCACACCCATTCGGTTTTCTTCGAAAAAAAAAGACAATTTTTTGCAGACACGTGGTAGAAAAAATTTAAAATAGGAGATTTGAAAGCGTTTCTTCTGTAGCTGCTATCTGAGATCAAAAATAAAAGTGACATTCACTTATTTTCAACAAGACATTAATTACTATGACAAACGCTTGGATGTAAAATAAGAATCACTCAGAGTGCAGAATGACCCGATACAATAATCTATAGGTAAATTCTGGAATAATTAGATTTATCGGCAAGTTTGCGTCACACTCCACTTTTTTGAGAAAAATCATTCGTAAGTATCACACAAAATATGTTATCTTCATTAAGTAAATAATTATTCACAGTAAAAATATTGACGATAAACATTTCATAACTTAGGTAGGTATAAGAATTTTTCTAGTATATAATAAACACTAGACTCAAATATTATATCTATTTTACATGTAAAGTAAAACTGTTAATTTGAATTATTATTTTTAGTACCTACACGATATACAATAGTTCAGAAAGTGCTTGTTCAAATTTTCATTTAGTTGGATCAACAATTAAAAAAAAGTCTCGTGTTTAATAATTTATACTTTATAGTACAAAAGGTCGAATCTCATTGGAACAAAAGGAATTTTATATCGTCACAAGAAACCAAAAACGCCTTAAACTATAATATCTCAATATCTACAAATACAGACATACAGTATTAATCTTAAAATATACTATAAAATTCCAAATTCAGAATTTGAATAACCAGAATATGAGAAAAAAATTGAGGCATTAGCAAATGAGCTGGTTGGCGAATCACTTATAATAATAATAATTCTAGAACTGCATTGCCGGGTATAAGACGAATTTTATTGTATTCATAGCGAATTTCCCGTAACGCACTTAGCACTTCAGAGACGCATTTGTTGTACTCTATGAGTGTAACAAAGGCGTCCTCGTTGAACCACATGTTACATCATACCTAACTCCTTATAATGGATTGGTACTATTTCAGTATTGTGGTTAGTGATTAAATTATAACAACAATTGAAAAATTAATAATAATATGCTAACAAATTTCAATACTAATAATTTGAAGTATCAAAATACGCTCAACAAAATGCCTTATGCAACATAAATACATAAAATATGCACCGAACATCAATATAATACAAAACGGTAAAAAAAATAATGAAAAATATATTTTATTCACTTAATTCTGAATTGTAAATAATACAACGTATTGCACAGAATGTTCATTATGTTTAAGACATTTTTTTTAATTTGCATGTTTATTCTAGATGCAACTTTAACTTTGCTTTTCCTATATTATGTTAATGTTGACTTATGATTTTTTAGAAGGAAATATAACTTCCATTATCATGTAACTATTATTGTATATAAAATTACAATATTGGTAGGTCAGATTAATAATAATAATAATAATAATATTAATTTACCAATAACAAAATGTTTGTTACAATTGAGATTACAAGCAATATTACAAGGTTATCTCACTAAGCCAAAAAATAAACTAAAAATAATTATACACAAATATACTATACAAATAAGTTAACAATGTTTTTAAATTAATTTATCTATCACATAATAAACCTAAATTTAATATTATTATGACATAAAAAATCCTTAAATTGTACACTCTCCATGTAGGTAGTATTTAAAATTAATATAGCTATTACCAAAACAGATAAATTCATTTTTAACCAGGAAGGAATATTGAAAAAATATAAACAGTGAATAAAACGTATTCGATTCGGTTCTCACCTTAGGGATTACAATCCCTCTTGAACTTGTATGTTCTCTAGTAGCATGGTACCTATAATATTATGTACTGAGTATTTATTAACTCCTTATACTTAAACATAAAAATACATTTTTTTTTTTTGTTCTATATTATGATTTCATTTACGAATAACTGATAATAAACTAAGGAAATTAATTTTATTAAAATCCAACAACTGTTTATATTTTTATAAACGTAAATATTTACTGTCAACTAGTGAACAAATAGGTATTGTGGCCTACTACATGCACTAAACTGACTTA